CTTGTTATTTCTTGTCTTTGGTTTGGTGCTCTAATATTATCCTTGTCCTAGTATTATAAGAATGGTTGTTACCGTTTGTAATAAACTTTTGTAAATTTTCTTGAATGTGTATCAAATTGCAGTATATTACACATGATGGCAGAGTTAATATATTAAACTCAATAAACCATTTCTTACAGCTGTCCATCCTGATTGCATAGACCTTGCATGATAGATTTTTTGCTAGTTTGTCAATATGGGGTTTCCAAGTGAACTTTGAATCAATGGTTATACCAACACATTTCACATTATTTGAGAGGTTATGGGACAGCGAAAACATAACTGTTTTTGTCTTGCTTTTATTCACACATAGGCTATTCGCATTAAACCAGTCTGTAGCTTCTTGAATAACTCGCTTTTCTAATTCTGATGACTCTTCAATATTTTTTTTCCGAATGGCGAAGGACGTGTCATCGGCGAATAGCATTGTAAACATTGTCATTGAATTTGACAGTTCATTAATATAAATCAAGGAAAGTAGTGGCCCAAGCACACTACCTTGTGGAACACCATTCAGTATCGTTTGTAAGTTACTGAGTTCTTCATTATATGATACACATGGCTCTCTCTCATTTAGATATGATGCTAGCAGATTGTGTGCTATGCCTACAAATCCATAGTATCTCAGTTTTTCTAATAAAATGTCGCAGAGACGCAGTCGAACGCCTTGCTCAGATCGAGGAATATGCCAAGTGTTGTTTTCGAAACCTTCAGTTATGAAGTCAACTAATTCGAGCACTGCTTTTGACGTGCTTCTTCCTTTCCTGAATCCAAACTGTCTATCTGTCAAGATATTTGTGTACTCTAAATAATTTATCATTCTTATTGACATTATTTTTTCTACAATTTTTGCAATTACTGGAAGTAGTGCAATTGGTCTGTAGTTTGAAGGAAAATTGATATCACCACTTTTAAAGACCGGAATTATTTTTGCAATTTTTAGTTTTGATGGAAATACACCAGATTTCAGAATCAAGTTGACAATACATGTAATCGGTCCTAGTAGCGCAGATAGATTTTCCTTATACATAACCACTGAGTGATTGTAAAATTCAAGCAAGCCCGTGTTTTTTAGGGATTTGATGACTTCATTCAGTATCAGTTTGATAGAAATGCATCGAGTTATCAGCATTGCATGGAACTTGGTGGAGATAGTTTGTGAATTAATTATTGGGTGTGCTCATGTCATTATTCATATCCAGAGCTACATTTATAAAAAAGTCATTGAACTGCTCTGACATAAGACAAAAAGAGCTATTCGTGTGATTATTCCCATCTGTTTTTATTTATAAGCTACCAGATTGTTTTTTGTTTATTGTTCGATTGGTTCAGTTGTTTCATCGCCTTTTCTCTCTTCATTTTCATAAGTAATTGTTCGTATTTATATATTTTTTATTCAAATTCTGATTTGATTTTCTCACAGTTATTGATGTGAAAGATCCATAGTAATTTCAAAAAACTACACCTCACGATTTGATCTCCACAAACTTTTTTGTTTGTGGAAATCAAATCGTGAGGTGTAGTTTTTGAAATTAAGTCACATTTTAAAAACAAGAAACTAGAAAACAAGACAAATTATTGATGACAATTACTTGAAATATATTCACTACATTTTCTTTTGAATGAATTTAATGAATCACAGCTTTTTATATGACTTGGCAAATTATTAAATGCAATCAGACCAGAACTATATAACGAGTCACAACCTATATGTTCTCTGTTGATATAAAAATTTCCTATTCTATTTCTAGTGGAGTGTGTATGAATACTACATGTGTAGGTTTGCCCTTCCATCTGATTTTTGTTGTCTATCTGGCTAATTCCATTCTCATTTTGATTGACAAGCTCAGTGTATTGTTTTGCTAACAGCTCCTGTTGGATTTTTAGAATACCATCTGATAAATCCGTTAGGGTTATACTCTTTTTGCTTTGATCTTCTTGTTTTCCTCGTTGATTCATATTACTGGAATTCGTGTCTCCAATCTCAGTGTTTTTGCAAGGGTGAGTCACAGTTGGCGACTTCGAAGTATTTGGTATAGTTTGTTTACCCTTTTTTTTTTGTTCTTGGGTTTTTTTGTAGTCAAGATTTAGATTGTCCACCTGCTCTTTTTTGTTATCTTTTTCGTGCATTGATTCAATGTAAGTGTTCAATATTTTTACCTTTTCTCGTATTTCATTATTTGTCCTTCTGCTTTAGAATATATAAAAATGTAATTGAGTCCAACTTACTCTCATTTCCTGAGAGTTTGTCTACTGCATCATAGAATAGGTTATCCTCGCCTTGATTATTATTAGGCATACCTATATCTATCTCATGGAAACATTTAGGGTTTTTCGATGAAATTTGCTTGTTTTAGACACCCAGGGTGATATATATGATTACACTTTGAACACAAAACTTTGTCTTTCACTATTTGACGTCCACAGTGTTTGCACAGACTAGTTTTATTGCAATTATAATCACTTTCTTTTTGGAGATAGGCAGACGAACCTCCGCCGGCCGCCATGTTATCGCATGGCATGTTATATCCATATAAAATCAAAAACATTAATCTAACGCTGACTAACAGCGTTCGGGACTTGGGAGTGTTGATTGATGAGACAGATATATCTATGATTGAGAAAGTACAAAACAAATTTCTGAGATCATGTGTATTTAAGCTCGGATACCAGAGGTCCGACTATGAGTACTCAGACATTCTGCTTCTTCTGAATTTATCTACTTTGAAGCACTGCCGACCTGAAATTGATTTCAAGACTCCATCATCAAGTTATAAATGGTGATATAAACTGTCTATTTGTAACACAAATGATTAACTTCAATGTAAATTCAAGAAGAACCAGAGTGTCGGAGTTGTTTCAAGTTCCTTACCATTCTACTAGCTATGGCTTAAATGAAACCATCACTAGAATGCTTAGGTTAGCAAATAAGAATACCATCTATATTGATTTGTTCGACTCTTCCTTGTACTCTTAAAAATCAGGTTGAACGTGTTGACCTACTATGAAGAAACTGCTGATTATTATTAACAATGATTAATTACTGTTTTTTTTTTCTTTTTTGTCATTCTATATTATTATTCAATTGTTTATTTTTCAATCATACTATTTATGTGTTCATTGTATAATGATAAATAAATAAATACATTTGTAACTTTGACTTCAAACTCATGCAATGTTGGTAGTGTAGTTCATCTTCTCAATTGATGCTATCTTTTTTCGGTTAACATGTGTAGCTCTGTTGGACGGAAGTAGTGTTCGAGTTGGATTTATAATTTTTAAACTCGTAATTTAAACTTTGATCCCATAATTCTTGCAGAACACTATTTAAATGTGTTTTTTTATAAATGAATTGAAGGATTCTTTTGAAGTATTTCATTGAGGGATCCATTTGACAATTATCCTAAATGAGCTTATATCTTTGTATTTTCAATCACTAAATTATATTTCCAAATATTATAATGAAGCACAAAAGAAATAATTCTAATTTTTAGGTCGTGGAAGAGGTAGAGGCCGAGGTGGAGGAGAGCGTGGACGTGGTGGGAGAGGTGGTGGCAGAGAAAGAGATGGGGATAGGGGTTTCGGATCTGGGGAGAATGGATTCGACAAGCAGAAAGGGGAAAGTGGTGAAGAAGTCAAAAGAGAAATTTATATTCCTCCCGAAAGAACAACTGATGAGGAACTATTTACCAGTACGATATGTTCTGGTATTAACTTCATCAAATTAGATGAAATAGAAGTGAACGTAAGTAAATTTTTCATTTTCTTTATTAATTTCTATCTAGTTCACACTATAAGTTGAGTTCTGTTTTCTGAAGAAATATATTGATGAGTGACCATCGTTTTCAAAAGTTCATATCAACAAGATACAATATAAAAATAAGTTAGCAGGAATTCCCAAAAATTTGCTACATGTAGCAAATGTAATATTTATATTTTTGAGAGTGTGATTGTCAGAAATACTTATTACAACTTTTTGTACATATACTTTCCTGCAATAAGACATGTACAAATATTTAATTCAGAAACAGAATGTTTGAAATACAAACAGAATTGAGAAAAGTGTTTTTTCGTATAATTCTGCGTTCATATAAAAGTGTTTGTTTCGAAAGTATTTTTCTTTTATGTAACTCAATCTTTCTATGAAAAAAGCTGTTTCAAAAGGGCTTTTTCTGAAAATTACTTCTTGGCATGATCTACACATCTTTGTATAGAGTTGATTTTTGAAATTTGCTTTCTTCTTTTCTTTGAAAGATTCCCACATTTTTTTGGATCAAGATGGAGTAGTAGAAAGCCAAAAACTTTATTTCTCAAAAATAATTTCTCATAAAAATATACCTTTTCAATTTAAATAATAAATATCTTTTCAATCCAATAGGTATCTGGTGAAGATGTCCCACCACCACTAGCATCATTTCAACAATCTGGTTTGCGGCCACATCTACTTGAAAACATAAAAAAATCTGGATATGACAAACCAACACCAATTCAAAAATATGCAATACCTATCATAATGAAAGGAAGAGATCTGATGGGCTGTGCACAGACTGGTTCTGGCAAAACTGTGAGTAATCTAATTCTTCGGAAAAGTTTCAAAATATTTTTATTGTAATGCTTTGTTTTAGGCTGCATTTTTATTGCCAATGATTAACCAGCTTCTAAGTAGTCAAGAAGCACCAGTAACTGATGGAAATTGCTGTCAACCAAAAGTTGTGATTGTATCGCCAACGAGGGAATTAGCTATTCAAATTTTTGAACAAGCTAAAAAATTTGCCTATAATTCTATCGTCAAAACTGTCGTCGCATATGGAGGAACCTCTGTGAATCATCAAAAAAATCATGTACTGGTAAGTTGTAAATTATTGCATGAAAATTATGTATATCTGTCACAAATTATTTTTCTATCAATGAATATTGTTACAGATGGGATGTCATATTTTAGTTGCTACTCCTGGAAGGTTGAATGATTTTGTGAAACGGGGTCACATATCGTTTGCATCAATTCAATATTTTGTATTAGATGAAGCTGACAGAATGTTGGATATGGGTTTTCTTCCGACTGTAGAACAAATGTTGAGTGACAGTTCCATGAGAGCAACTGTAAGTATAAATCTATAGACATATAGATGAATTGAATTTTTTAAATTTATTTATACAGGTTATCTCCATTACATAATATACATAGAGTGAAGTAATAATACAGATACAGTTGATCGATATATAAACTACAGATAGTTAAGTAAAAGAACAATACATTAGTGTACACAAGTACATGTTATAATTCTGACTACAGGCTACTTTTTAATGTAGATAACGTAATTCCAGGAACCTCAAATTTTCTATAATTTTTTTTGAGAGTGCAATCATTAGGAGAATGTATGCCATAGTTGGTGATATGGAAAGGAATGTAAGAGAGATAAGTATTCCTGAGAGCTCTAGTAGGCACATGTAGTAGATAGATTTTATTTAGGAGTTCAGTGCATATAATAAGACCATCCATTATGTAGTGCAGTGATTTCCATAAAATGGTGACCTTATAATTGATCCAACTTCTAACCAAGAAATTATTAATGCAAAGTAAATTGTTCACAATGATCTAACAACAGTTTCGTTAAGTGAAACCTAATAGTTGTGAAGTGTTAACTGCAATATAATTTAAATGAATTGAAGGGGTTATATTTTTAGGAGTGATTAATTTTTTGGGAAAGAAAGTTTTTGGCTTTCTACTACTCCATCTGAAGATTCTCTCATCCCTTTTTTTTGTATCAGATGGAGTAGTAGAAAGCCAAAAACTTTCTTTCCCAAATAATTTAAATGTTCTGCAAAACGTAACGGCTCATCAATAATAACACCTAGATCCTTAACTGAAGTCTCATATGTTAATTGGTTTTTCTTGTTAAGAGTATGAAGTGTGAAATTTCCTATTTGATTTGTAAAAACTGATATAATTACATTTATCAATGTTCAGATGCAAATTGTTTTCGTTACACCACCTAACTCAGTTGTTCACATCTTGTTGAGTTAATTTAGCATCCTCCAATGATCTTATTGATCTGAAGAGCTTTTAGCCATCTACAAACATAAAAAAGTCCGTGTTCTCAAAACATTTGGCTATATCATCAACATCTGAGGTTCAACTCAGTACACCTTGAACTTCACTGTTTAAGAACTCTTTCATCTGGAGAACTGTGTTTATGTGGAATGGACTTCCTGAGAACGTTTTTCCTATTGGATTTGATCTCTAGCGATTCAAATCCAATGTGAATTTCTACTTTTGCACAGGCACCGCTCTGAGAGCGCCTCAAGGATTTTTCTGTAAGTGCTTGTTTTTTGTCCTTGAAAAAATGTTGAACAGGAAAGTTGCACAATTGAGATCTTTATGGTACCCTGATGGAACCAAATTATATGAGATGTAGCATACACTATCTTGACTTGCATTGGTTAAAATTTTGTGGTCTACACGATCAAATGTTTGGAAAAATAAGTGTATACAGCATTCAGTTGATCTCTGCTTTCCAAGATACTTATTGGTTTTTTTTCCAAACACCAGCAGGTTAGTTTAAGTGTATTTTTTTTTATTACTCATCAGAAGCTCTTTACTATAGAAATTCATTTGGTAACTCGCCGAACTAGCCAATAATTTAGGAAGGGGACCTTTGATTACGTACACTACGGTAATTTTGTATATGTTGTTTGTTTTCTGATTTAAATGTAGGGCCGATATAACTGTTCTGAACTTCTAGGACAATACCCATATCTAATGAACATTCAAAACTAAGGAATATAGGGTAGGGTGTGTCAAAGAATAAATACAATTTTTTAGAAAATAATCAGATATTCCATCAGGGCCTTTAACTAGTTTACCTGGTAAAGATATTATTTTTCCAAAAATGTCTTCAATAAACACATTGAAATTTGGAATATTGTAATTAACATGAGCTGGTGTATTGTAATTGACCTCAGATATATTCTCTGAGTAAACTGTTAAAAAGAAATGGGCGAAACAATTTCCAATCTGTTCAGAGGTATTTCCTACCATGTTATCATAATACATAGTATTAGGTAAATCAATAGATGACCTTTTACTATTTACAAACCTCCAAAGCAATTTTGGGTTAATATATAAATCACATTCTAATTTATTCATGTAATCACTGAAACAAAGCCTAGATAAATTTCTACATTTGCTAGTTCGTACTGGAACCTCTGGCGTATAATAAATCTACAAAAACACTTTCCCAACATCAGTACATAAATTACTGTCTCTCGACGATCATTATGACTGATGATCTTCCGAGGATGCTAACTTGGTTTGCGAAACGCGCGTCGATAGACCGTAATTTTTGTTCTAGTGTTGAGAAAGTGTTTTCAATAAATCTCTACATAACGACCTTTGTTCACAAAAAATATGGTAGTCATGTATATTCTGGATAATCTTATATTGTTTATGAGCGATGTTCTTTTGTTTTATGAATTGCCTTGATTCTGATCTAAACCATTTTGGAAAATTATATGTTCTGAACCGTTTTAATGGCACAAAGGGAGAAATCGCCATATTATTATGTGATAAAAACTTTTCACTGCATCATAAATATCTGACAGAAATAAATGATTGTTCGTATTTACTTCAACTAAATAATTATTGAGACCTATAGAGTCTGCATTTTTGAAATCATAATAAAATTAATTGTATTTTAGTTACTGTAGTGCTTTACTTATTTGAGTTTCAAATATAACTTATGTGATGATTACTGTTTTCAAAATAGCATCCTTATCTGAATCGATTAATAAGTCATAAACAACAATTATTAGTATTACATGTCAGTGTAAGTTGAACATTAAAAAAGTAACATGACTGAGTAGAAGATAGTATGAATAGCTGCTTCAAATTTTGTAAAAATAAGCCTTTTTGTCACTATATTTGCACCAAATGTGCCAATGTGTTTCATAAAAGCTGTTTGCCAAGATATAGAAAGTTGAAAAGACTCGAGGGCAACAAAATTAATTGTTGTTCTGAACAGACCAGTGACGCAGCTATCATAAATATTATTACGTTTTTACCCTTGAGTTGACCAATAACTGAACAATGATCAAATTTAAATTCATTTCACTTTAAATACAACAAACGCTTCAACTAAAACTTCAACTATTATTCGAATGTCTATCGCCTTACTAGATCGCGATATCATATGTGAACCATGGCGGACGTGTCGGTAGTTACCTGTAAATATTGCTCGAATAAAGTGAAAAACGGTATAAAATGCAACGAGTGCAACTCGGTAGTTCATCCAAGTTGTGCAAAAAGACTCAAAAATGTTATATTCAGGAGCGATAGCATGATTTGCTGCCAAAATAACGTGAACGACGTACATAACCTCAACGAAGAAGGAAGTTTAGAATTGTCTTTTAGCGAAGAGCAAATAAGTTTCGATGAAGAACCACTGAAGAAAGAAATAATGTACCTAAAAACAATATTGAAACATAAAAACCAAATTATTCGAGGACTAAATGAAAAAATTCAGTTCCTCCAAGAGAAAATTTATCAAATACTCCCTCCACTGGAAAATAGCCCAAAAAATGAATCAAGCTTGAATACCACAAAGAGACCCTTGCAGACAAACGATATTCCCAAATTTCAAAGCGAGAGACAAGAAATTGAAAATTCCTACGCTAAAGTGGTAGTGGCTAATGACTCGCCGGTGCAGGTCACTGCATCCAACTCAACCCATAAAAATCAGGAAAAATATGTCTCAGCATCACAAGTAAATACAGCAATATTACAAGCAACTCAAATGAAAACGATAAGAAACCTGCAACAGTTAGGGTCAAACCATATAAAAGAACCGAACAACACGGACGAGGAAGGCTGGGAAAAAGTGAGAGTGCAACAGAGGAGAAAGCGTCGTTTCCTAGTGGGACAAAGCGACCAATTCTTCGAGGTTCAAACTGTTCCCAAGTTTGTATCACTACACGTAACAAGATTGAAACCAGAAACAAAACCAGAAGACTTTGAGAGAATATTAGAACCAAATCTTCCCGGGGTGAAATGCGAAGTGCATCAATCCAAGAGACCAGAAATATATGTCTCAATGAAGGTTACTTTAAATAAAGAACACTTATAAAACGCATGGAAGCAGGAAATATGGCCAAATGGAGCGGTAGTGTCACATTTTTTAGCCAGGAAGAGGGTGCCTGCAAACATAATGGATCCTCTAACACAGACGCAACCCAACTAAAACCCCCGTCAACTACAACCCTCTTACATCAGAACATTACTTTGAGAGATGAAAACAACGAAAGTTCGGTATCNACCAGTTCTATACTTGATTTATGTGATTGATTTCAAAACTGAAGATGACTCTGAGATTACGCAATTTGCTGACGACACGTCATTAACGCTCCAAAACACAAATTACGAGGCTATAGTTAAAGAAATGAAAGTAGCAGAATCGAATGCTAATAGATGGCTGACAAATAATAAATTAAAATTGAATACAAATAAAACGCAACATTACTTTTTTACACACAAACAACTGCCTATAGACCAAAATGAAACCTATAGTCAAGCGGAACATGACCAACTCCTGCCAAACGATCAGCTTCCGCTAAAACCGATGAAGAGGGAAGAGGAGATAGGTGAAAGCACTCGAATGACCTATAAATAGTCAGATCTCGGAGACTAATTGAATCATATCCAATTTTTTACATTTTTATACGAAAGATCGGTACATATATATTTTTAGTGGTATATCATAAAACAATTGTAAATCACTTCTAAATTGTGATGAAAAAGTTGTTTCGCACTACCTAATCCCAAAATACCGTAGTTCAGTTGTGAATGTATCAACGAGAAATATAGAATTTCAAGATACTTTACTAAAATGAATTGTTCTAGATATTTATGTTTTGATATTAGATATCCCAATTTTTATAGGATAAGAAATGTCATGGGTCCAGTTCAATTGTAACCAAAATAATTCCAAAAACTTCGTCCTACAAATATTGAACTTGCTATTGATATTTATTGGACCAAAATTCGGTAGTCAATTTTGACAACTGATGACGAGAAGATATTATTGTTTATCAATATTTATGGTCAGTGAATTTTCATCAAATCAAGTTTAAATGTTTCATATATTTCAAGATCATTATGATATGTTGCAATATCATCAGCAAAATGGAAAATTTAATGAATCCTCATAATATTCGTTAATTTATTCAATAATCAATATATTTGTTGAAAAGCAGGAGATTAGTAACTTCTTACAGAATGCTGCTCACTGATATATGAGGTGTCTAGTTTCAAAACCAGATTAGTCTCAGAATTGTTGATATGATTTTTTTTTCATAATTCAGATTCTTTTTTGAGAGCTGTAAATTGTCTATATTTTTATTCTTACCTCATGAAAGTTTCTAAAATAGTATTCTTTTTCATTAAAAAATCTATTTCATAAAAAATTATCACAAACGAAGTAGTGAGAAGTTTATTATTCCCTTGTGATATCAAGAATCTAGCCTCCAGGATATCAGTTACCCCAAAACCTTATCATAGTTCTTGAATAGATTAAAATTGCAGCGGGATAGTTGAGGAATTAGATACTGAAATTTTTTTTCAATTCTCTACAGATTTCACTATACTTCTGTTTATGTTCATATAATACCAGAAATGCTTTATTTCTCTTTTTAAAAATTCTCACATTTAAGAAATATTTTTTCTTTCTAATCTTTATCTTTTTTCAGGGTGAACGACAAACTCTTATGTTTTCTGCTACATTCCCAGAACAAATTCAACATCTTGCAGGGAAATTTTTACACAACTATATATTTATTGCTGTTGGAATTGTTGGGAGTGCATCAACTGATGTGCAACAAATCTTCCATCAAGTTAGTAAATTTGACAAAAGGGACAAACTCCTTAGCATGCTTCAGGAAGGTGAGCACAAACTTCTTATTGAAGTAATAATTTTTAATGGAAATCAATAATATTTTCAGAAGGTATGATAATTTAATATGAAGGATACTGCCATACTTGAGAGATTGTAAAAACATAAATTATTTGTAGTATTCCTAATTCCCTGAAAAAAGCTGATACGAAACAGAATTCAAAATAGCTTCATTTCATTGTTTGACATGTTATATAGTTCTGCTTTGAATCTAGATGTTTCAAGAAAACCTCGTTTCAAAAATAATAAATTTTTCAATGTTAGTGTTCTTGAGTTTTCTAAAAGGAAATCTAGGAGGATTTTATTTGTATGGTCTATTTGGAATGAGAAAGATCTCCCGAGGCTTCTTTCCAATAACTTGAATATATGATATATATGAAGTGTGCCCCAGGATTGACATTACATTAGGTGCGAAGGTCTGAAATTTTTTTTATTTATGTCTGGTAAGAAATTAATACCAATAAAAATTCCAGATTTCTAAAAAACATGTCTGTCTCGATGGTGAAGTGAAAATTATTTTCTATTCAGGTAATTTACTCTTTTTGTTTGACATACACCAAAATGCTGCAAAAAAGTTTAATCACGGCTCCATAAAAAAATTCAGTAAGATTGGATTAAATAACCATTTATTGAGGTTAAACATTACAAAATGCATTTGCTCATAAATTGACTGCAGATTAATGCTGAACGGCTTTTTAAAAAAATTTATCGCACGTAGAGCAATTAGTTTTTTGTGAGTTATTTGTGAGAAATATGCATTCAAGGATATTCAGGTTTTTCATATATTCATTGCTTGAGAGCTTGACAAAAAACCCCAGTTGATGGTTTTTGCTGGATATGGTGAACACATCAAAGGATACGCTTGATTGATGAAATCATGAAAGTAACTATCGGTAGAGATGACAGACTCATTTATGAATGTTCCATGAATGGAAACTGATCAATATGTTCCTAGAGGTGATGTTTCCCTCAGACTTCTGTATTCAAATGAGAGTGTCATTCTAAAACAGTCTTGGAGAAAGTCAACAGGAGAAAAAAACGTGAAATAACAGATGATAGAGAATTTGAAAGCATATCGAAAGCAGAGGAGCAGTCCAGAATATTACAGAGATCGACAAGAATAACTAAAGGAATTCCACCAGAAAATGAATATTTTGAAATGAAATTTCTAAAGATTCATATTTCCCAACTACATTCACAGTAGGTGCCTTCCGAATAACAATTATTTTACCGGCTAATACCACGCTGGATATTGAATTATTACTGACATAAATTATTCAAGTAGATCACCTACAGACCGATTCGAGGCATTGCCTCTCATCAGTACAGGAAAAATACAACCCAGACAGCCAAGTGCCTTGGACTCGATTAATTTCAACGTGGTTCTGCTCCATATATGAAACCTTCGCCTAAGAGAAAGATTGTTGGTCTGGGCTGGATTTTTCCTACACTGATGAGAGATAATACCTCGAAACCGGTCTGTAGGTGATCTAATCAAATAATTTCAGCATGATCCTGCTGCTGGATAAACGAGAAACATTTGCCGGACTAACCTCTGTGAGGTATAAATGTATGTTGGATATAATTCAATGAGTGTTATTGGCCGATGAAGTAATTATTATTTGGTAGGCATTTGCCAGAAGTTACTGTATAGGTAGTTGGGGGGAATGAATGTTTCAATATTTCAATTCAAAATTTTTGTTTCTTGTACATATGTATCTCTCCTCAATACCGCTTTCAGATACGTTTTGATCTTGATTGGAGTTATAAAAATTGAAAATAAAAGACAAAGAATATAGAAGTGAGACTTGAAGTAAACTCGAGCATCTGAAAATTAGTACTGAGATGAATAGAATTGTAGATTATACAATTCAAAATACATTATGACTTGTCATAAATGTAATTTACACATAAATTGATCAAATAAATCTATCAATTTTTCTAACATTTATATGAAACTGTAGAACATTTTAATAATAGCTGCCCAGAGTGAAGAATTATTGATTTGCAAAAATTCATTGATGTTATAGCAGTTTTTTTTGAGTAAGTTCGCACTTAGAGTGGAACACAGCAAGCATAGAGCTAGTAACGAGACTTGGGGATAAGGGAGATTACGACCTCATCCTCAAGTCATGTAAGTACAAATCTAAATGATTCTTGAAAATGGTGAGATTTTTTAAAACTGCATACACGTGACTGATAAATCAGGAAAGTAATCGTATTTCGTGTAAAAAAATTATTTGTAAATTGCAAAGCGCTTTCGGCTGTTCGCTATCATCAGTGCGATACCTACCTGCAAGTAGTAAGTAGATTGAACTTTAAATTCTTTTAATATTGCAGAATTACTTACTCGTCAAGTATATACAAGAAGATCCTGCTGTCTTAAGGTACAACAACTTTAGTAAAAACCACTCTGAGTGGACATGAACATGAACATCACAATAAGCAAACATTTGCACAAAATGTGAATATTTTTGTTTGAATATTTAAAAAAATATTTTTAAAGAAAACCATCTCCAACGTGCAGAGTACGAGAAGGAAAAGGAAGTGAAAATTTTACATTGACATAAAGTCTTCAACGGTTACAGAACATATTTGGTTTGACAATTGATATATTTAGTGACCACACTACGTAAAGTTTTCCAAAGTGAGCAAAGAAACATTCAATTGGAATTTTGAGAAATGTTGATTTTTGAAATGATTAATTTAATCGTCTATATAAAGGAATATATGATCTATTTAATTGTACTTGCGTATTCAGGCAAAGGGGGTTGTTGTGTAATTCTTTGTCTATTTGTAAATCTTGTAGAAAATCCAACCTATTAAAATTTTTTGAATTGACTTCATTTAGAATTTGTGAATTACGATTGGGGCTGAAATTGTGTTTATTAAATTTGATATTTAATTTTTTTAATTTTTTCAACTCGTGTTGATAGTTCAATTTTTTTGATTTGTTTGGTTGTTGCTTGCATGTTATTTCAGTGTAATTTCAGTTAGTTGCTTAATAAAATAATTTTTCAGGTAATCCTTTTAATTTTTCAGGGATTTCAAATCAGTTTATATCATATTAGACAATGGAAATCTGAACTGATGAAATACACCACGAAACATTGTCAACCACCTTCAAACTGAACAAGTTATAGTGTGATTAAATCATATGTTGATTGTCTGAAACTTCAAAATGATGTGAACCATTTAACCAATTGATGTAGAAATAACTGCTTGGAACTAAATCTTGACTAGTGTCTAGAGTTTCAATCGTTCTCATACACCAATCACATATGAATATTGCATAAACTCTTTGCCCTTGAACCAAGTTGATGAAGTTAAATATTTTGGTGTTATATTTGATAAAAAGTTGTCTTTCTCATTCCATAATAATAAAATAACCTTGAAATCACTAAAACTTCTTGGATATGTCGATGGATTGCTAAAGATTTTTCGGCAAGCACATTAAAATTCTGTATAGTTTGTTGATTAGGTCATATTCGGAATATGCATACATTGTGTGTGTCCCTGTTACTTAGTGTACTTAGTGCTGCCTACAAAATGGGTGTTCAAATGGACCAGCTACATAACTACACCGATATCCTTTCTACACTACATCTAACCACATTGCAAAACAGGTGGATTCAGGCTGACCTAATATTTCTATTTAAATTATTGTCAGACCAAATCAATTGCCCAGAACGTCTCTCGTTGGTTGACCTGAGAGTCAAACAAAGAATAACAAGGGATGATAGACCTGTTTTAGTTGAGAACTCACATTCTACCAATTGTGGATTTCATTAGTCCAATGTCAAGAATGTTAAGGGCAGCTAATGCATCAGAACTTGATTTTTTACTCACTCCTTGGATGTCTTCAAAAAGTCTGCAGTCAATTATGTATTTAGTCTAAAGATGTATGCCTTGTATGTTTGTTAGTTTTTAGTGATGGTGTTGTTATATTTATCATTTAGTTTTAAGGTTGAGGTTAAGGTTGAAGCACCAGTTTATGTTGACACAGAGACCCAAACCCAGGAAACATGAAAAAAAATTCATTGATGAATAATATGAATCACATATGTACACAGACAATACCAACTGACTTTACAACGTTGACAAATCTCTCGAATCTGCAGGTAAACACTGAAATGTACAATAAACCATGGAAAGGGAACGTAGAAGAGAAAGAAGAAAAAGCTAATATGAAAACAAAAAACAGAATAGAGAAGAGGAATCTGAGAAGAAATACCAAAAAAAATTAAAACGGAACACGACTGATAATATAATTTCAGTCGAAAAGGGGATTATGAAACTGAATAAACAATCGACTATTCTTACGGATTCATCCCATAAGATGAAACGATCGAAGAAAAGAAAAAACAAAATAGTTAATGAAACTTTGCTGGAAATTAACTTAGCCACAGAACTTTCGAGTGCATGTGAGCCAGATGTTACTGATGCTTTCAGGACCAGAGTCACGGAAATATTAAATTTGCCAGAAGATCAAGATACAGTGCACGATAGAATAATGAATTTATCTGCTGGATGTCCACAAAGTAATATCCTCATTTTGGGAGATGAGTATGCTATAAACTATCATAAGGTTCTCAATAGTATTGTCAATTCTGAACAAAAATACAAAATATTCTCAATTATCAAATCTAATGCAGAGCTTGCGCACCTCACAGAGGGATGTTATGAAAATGTATTTGACTATGGCAAGCAAGATCATTTAATTGTAATGTTTAACACAAACAATATTAGTAACTCAAAATTACTGAATCAAACAATGAGAAATTTGCTGCCTCTGGGCGGCACCACTAATGTCATTGTCACACAAATTAATACGTCAGACATAATTATAATCAACAATATGAAACATAACATCCAAAGTTACAGAAAAAAGCTAAGAAACATATCCATCTCATTACTTGTTGATCCAATGCTCAAAAGCAGCAAATTCAAAATTGCTCATGAGATGATGAATTTAGTGCTGAATAACTCCTTGTATAATAATATTGTATTGAAATAAATCAAACGAATGGATGAAAATTATTCATAGGCAGTTTTTTCGTGAAAAAAGTATATAATAATACTCGGGATCAAATGAATTTTCCATCAAAAAAATTGAATAATAATAATTTGAAAAATATTTCCCTTGATATATTTCATCAAAATGTGCAATGTATAGGAAACAAATGTCTTAGAATAGAGGATGTATTTGCTGATGTCAAATGTGACGTTTTTCTGATATCTGAATACTGGCAGGATGATTTGAAAATAAAGGAGGTAGTACTTGAGAATTTTACATTGGCCAATGCCTATTTTAGACAAACCATGGGACATGGCGGAGTGGCAATATAGAAGAATAATTAATGTCAACTGTCTCTATATAAGTTAGATCTGAATGATATCTCTGATATTTGAATGCAGTAGCACATGAAAAATATATTGGTGTGTTTGTAGTTTATAGACCTTCTGGTACTGATCTCAAACTATTTTTAGAATGTTTTGCAAATTTCTTTGAATATAGTAATGGCAGGGCACATCATTAATGGTTTGATAGATTCCTGTTTCCCTATTAAAAAAATACCCATTGATAAAAGAGCTGACAAGCGAATTTGGTTTAACGAGGAACTTCTGCATTTAAAGCAAAAATTAACTCTTATATCGGATTTAGCAACTTCTTACCTAATATATCATCAACCAAAAGCAGAGCTACAGAAAAGCTACTGCAATGCATTGTCAGAGGCTAAGAAAATATATAATGATGATTTGATAATGAAAGCAAATAATGAATCAAAAACTGTATGGAAAATTATTAATAATTTGAAAGGGTGTTGGAAAAACAATATACCCATCAACATTCACGATGATAATGGTAAACAGATGACTGCCCCGGAAATGGCTGAGCAGTTTAGATAATCTAGATCAGCATGATCTAGATTATCTAAAGTTGAATATGCCAGTGTCAAAAAAATCGTTTTTCTTAAACCCAGTTACACCTGTAGATGTTAAAATATTGATTGGTAATTTGAAATCTTCCAACTCAAGTGGATTTGATGAAATATCAAATAACCTACTAAAAAAATCGTATGCAGGCTTATGTGAACCATTGGCTTTTCTCATGAATCTTTGTTATTCTGAAGGAATTTTCCCAGAATGCTTGAAGTTAGCTGTGGTTCTGCCATTATACATAAAAGGTGGTTCTGATGTCTTTTCCAATTATAAAGCCATCAGTTTATTGTCAAGTATCTCTAAACTCATTGAAATGGACATCACTAATCAACTCTCATAATTCTTGTGGAGTCAGAGACTGTTATCCAAAAATCAACATGGATTCTGTAAAAATATGAGCACAGAATCTGCTATGTGTAATTTTCAAAAATGTCTTGTAGACAATCTTGAGAAGGGAAAATATGCTCTGGGTCTTTTCATTGACTTTTCAAGAGCTAAAATTATTTGAATCATATTTAAATGGCAGAAGTCAGGTTAGACTGAATGAAGTTCTGAGTAGCTATCGTGAAATAAATCGAGGTGTACCTCAAGGATCTGTATTGGAACCTTTATTGTTCAATATATTTGTAAATTATATAATTCGTCTAATAGAAAAAAACCATAATATAAAAATAGTGTGTTATGCAGACGATACCAATTTACTAATTTTCGAAAAAAGCATAAACATGCTACTGAGTAAAAACTGAGAAGATTTATGAAGATATCATTCTTTGAAAAAAATTGTCTGTTACTGAATCATAACAAAACGGTCACAGTATTTTTTGGGCGCTCCAAACAAAGATCAACTGTGTTATTCAAAAATATAGAAAACCAAATAACTTGCAGTGATGAGGTGAAACTTTTGGGAGTAATTTTCGTCAAACATATGCAATGGGCAAGTCATATAGAACTATTGTCTAATAAACTGAGAAGTAGTTGCTACAGCATAAAGTATATGAAAGACCACTGCAGCAAAAATTGCTCAATGTAATGATGTAACTGAAATTTGACGTTTTTAATCATTTATGTAAACTTTGTGCATTCAAATGATAAAATAAAGGAGTATCATCATTATTATTATTATTAATGTACGAATTAATTAATTCGTACGAATATTTCAATATTCGTACGAATTTTGTAACTGTTTTTAAATTGAAGTATATTTTTCAACGTTGTAACTTAGAGTTTTCCCGTTTATACGGAATAAATAAATATATTTTTTTCTTTTCAGGTCGAAATGAACGGACAGTCGTGTTTGTCGAAACCAAAAGAACTGCAGATTTTCTTGCTACTCTCTTGAGTGAAAATGACATAAAGACCACCAGTATTCATGGTGACCGTCTACAAAGAGAACGAGAGCAGGCACTCTGGGATTTTAAAAAAGGAATATGTAATATTCTTGTGGCTACTGGAGTAGCTGCCAGAGGACTTGATATTGAAGGAATCCAACATGTCATAAATTATGATTTACCAAATAGTATTGATGAATATGTTCATCGAATTGGTCGTACTGGTAGGGTTGGTAAGTACACAAAGAATAGATCCTATCAAAATATAGTTTTTTTTTTCTGTGATACCCGTATTATTTGTTGTGAACTGGAAGAAATCGGATAGTATAAAAAAATACTATCATTAAGAGAAATTGCAATGTTGAAGCAAAAACTGCATCGTTATGATTATGGTGACAGTCTTTATGATCTCAGGAGGACGCTAACTTGGTTAGCGAATCGATCGAGAGACCGTAATTTTTGTTCTGGTGTTGGGAAAGGTTTTCAATAGAATCAATGCTAACTTTTATAGAGTCAACACAAGCTCTCAATTATACATTTATAGTTTGTTACCTGTACATTGTACACCTAATAGAAAAATAAACATGTATCTAGCTGATAAAAATATATCTACAATATAAATTTATTTAAGTCTGTGACATGCCAAGAGACACTCTTGGTATGTTATGAAAATTCTTTAATTATCTTGCTCAGGGAATGATGGTACCAAGGACATAACATTGTTCATTTTGTTTTAGTAAACTGATTGTTCCTAATCATGGTTATTTTTGAATAAATTTTAATTTTATTTGTTACAGGAAATCGAGGTAAAGCAACTAGCTTTTTTGATTCAGCCCATGACACCAACATAGCTGGAGATTTAGGAAAAATTTTAAAACAAGCTGGTCAAGATGTGCCAGACTGGCTTGCCAATGGATGTTTCTCATCAGGAGGGAATAATGATTCATTTGGAGGCAGAGATATAAGAGGGGTAAAATTATTAATTTTCATTAATATTATTTCAGTTATGCATGTTTCATTTCCATTGTTTAAAAAAGTTTCAGATTTTATCAGCTCCATTTTTTGCTACAATTTAAATATAGAAGTGAGGGAATGTGAAATCGAGATTATTTGAAATGCTTGGAAAGCCTCAAAATAACTCATTGAACGTTTAATTATGGGTTTTTTAGATAAATGATTTCGTGCTTCACTTCACCTAATTATTAACTCAAAAATCACAAATCTGCCTTTTTGGTCTGAGTAGTGCTTCAACTTGAAGCAATTCATTTTGATACCTGTACTTTAAAAATGATATCACCTTGATAATAATGCCGACCGAGATTCGTTCTGTGTCTTTCACTGCAAGAGAACTCTGGGTTCATCTGTCATCAGTGGTATACTGCCACAGTAGTAGATAAAACATTTGATACAAGTTTCATTTGATCCTGGCCTAGCAGCCCGTATTTTCTTCATCTTTAAAGTGAGAGTAGTTCAGAAACTAATAACTTCATGTCACACTAATTTGTATGGCAGCTTTGTGGAAAAGTTATTCACACCTAAGGAATTGTTTTCATTAATCTTCCACTACTCAAACAATTTTTCTCAAAAAGATAAATGTCTCCGAACCAGAATAGATAGCTCCACTTTCTGCTTCGATAAGTTTGTTGGGGGTTAAAATGGACACCAATATGTCTTGGCATGATCATGTCCCTGTAATTGCAAAGGCTGCTTTTCAAAAGCTTGGAACACTGTTCCGAACTAGAAAATTGTACACACCTTTAGACAATGGAAGTCCGAACTAGTGAAATTCAAATATTCATTTGATTTGGAAAAGGAATTATAAAACCAATTAATATTGCAGTATTTATAATCTTGTATAACTCTCATTACGTTAACATCATTACACTTTGCACATAATGTGCCAAAATAAAAAACTGACCAATATTTGATTATGTAGTCTTACTTTTATCCTTTATTTCAATTTAAATTCTTGTTATATATAAAAGTTGATTTTTTAAAATAAAATGTGGATAAGGAATAAGGTTACTTATTATAGGTTTGGTTTCCTTGTTCACTTATCTTGTCAAAATAATAAATCATTTAACGTAATTTTATTATTTATTTGTTTTTCAGAATGATTTTGGAAAGGCCCAGAATTACAATACTCAGCCAGCTGAAGAAACTGAGGAAGATTGGTGAACGTCGAACAATATTTTGATGATCAGATCATCAAGCAAAGAGTTGAGATTTTATTTGTTGTCTATCGTTGAATGGTACCTGTTAGATCACGGCAAATGTTAGTTAATTTAAACTTTTATGACTTTTAGTTGACCAAAATATTGCGATTAAATTAAACGCTTAGTTTTAATGTTTTCTATTCAGTGTTAGAATTTTCATTTGTTTTTTCTACTTTAAGCCGTATAACTGACATGTGATACTATTTTTAGTGAAAACTAGAAGTTATATGGTTGGTTCGGAAAATATTGATTTCATTGAAAAAGACATTACATTTTCTATTTTATGATGAATATATTTTTTATATTTATTTGACCTTTATGCTTAACCTCATCAGTTTCCTGTGTTCTATCCTCTTCATTATTCAAGTAGATAATTTAAATGAAAAAGCAAACGTAACATAAAACCAAATACTTTAAGATACATTAATATCCGAACTCACAAGTAATATATCTTCATCGAAACATTGTGGAAAAAATGAAGTTTTCTTTGAAGTCCAGTTTTTGAAAATGAGACAATTAAATCATAGTTTTTTTTTGTCTCATGAGATATTCAAAATCATCTCTTGTACAAAATTGAAGATAATGAAGTGATGTCATCCTTCTTTAAGAGAAATGTTCAACATGGATATAGTCGTACATATACTGCAAAGGCATTATATTTTTTTGAAATAGGGAACTAATATACAAACATTTCCAACATATAATGATTACCAAATATACATTTGATAATTAACAACATAATAATTGTTCATGCATAATATTTTCTGCAACGGCAAATATTAATAATCAATACTAGTCAATTTTCAAATAAATCTCAAGGTAATCGAAAATTATTTGAATTCTTCAGCAAATTGCATATATTTTTGAATAAAGCGAAACTCTAACTATTAGCAAACTAATCAAATCCTTAAAATAATAATGAATTCGCATAACTTAATTTGTTGGTAGTTAATATGAGAATAATACTGTTGATAGTAGTAATGTGCCGGATCTTTAACAAAGTTTCTGCGAATTGAATTGATAAATGTCAAGTTTTTTGCACTCTGTTAAAAACCAATTTTTTTCCGATTTCTGAGTCCCTGTTTCTCCATTTTTTTATTGATAGTTGAAAATGCAAATCCCCATCACCAAACAGTACATATATTTTGTGAGAGATTCACTGATGCTGTCAAAACCGTCACAGAAATGTGTTGAACATTGGACAGATGACTGAAGAGTAATCAAAATTCAATGTACCACATACACCTGAAACTCTAAGGCCTGCTGTAGAGAAAAATTTTCAGGATAGAATTATCAGAGATGATAAGTATAAACAAAGAATAACAAGGGATGATAGACCTGTTTTAGTTGAGAANTTTTCTTCAAACCGATAGAATGATGTAGCAATTGAAGACACTAGGTGACCAAATCAGAGTTTATCAGTGATGCCATCCATTCAAATGTTTAAAATGACATTGAAAATAAACTACTAAGTGATAAACAATCAAATGGCATAACCATGCTTGTACTAAATATTCAGTCAATACGATATAGCCTTATCAGAACATTGGTTAAAAATTGAAGAAACTCTGTTCATTTCGAGTTACTCCATTTTATCTAAATATTGTCGTCCCAACACGGGGCATGGAGGTACGATGATCGTACTAAAAAATAATAATGTGAATGACTAATGTTGATCAATATAATAGAATGTTAGTAGAAAATGAGTTTGAATTCTCTATGGTATACAATAAAACGAACCATTTGTATATCATAGGAATTTATAGACCACCTAACTCAAATGGGCCCATTTTCATAGATCGACTAGAAACTCTCCTTTCTGAAATACCCATTCACGCACATATTTTTGAATAAATATTAACTTTGAAGATAAGGAATCAGCAGTGACATTAGCTTTGACTAATCTATTTTTATCATTTGATATAAAAATGCATGTAAGGGAGCCTACCAGAATTTCGCAACATTCATCCACTACTATTGATTATGACTGCTTAAATTTAGATGGAGCGAATGTTCTCTGTTCGGTTATTTCCTCCAGTCTTTCAGACCATGAGGCTTTATATGTGAAAGTACTTATGAAAATCAAACACTCTTGTGATCATAGATTTGGTAGAATTTATAGCAAAAAAACTACAATAAATTCAGATAATGTTGTGAAATAATCAACTGGAATAGTATGCTAAATGATGAAGAACCATTACTTATTTTTTATAATACTATGACAGACATTTTTGTAAGATCTTTTTCTGTGTATAAACTGAAAATTAAAAAATAAGAAACAATGGATTACAACTGGTATAAAAAATTCAGGAAAAAATTTAAGATCATTACATACAATTAGGAAGTATACCGATAATATATATTTCTTAAGATACCTTAATAAATATAAGAATATTTATAGGCAAATTATTAAAAGGGCTATATTACGCAGAGAGAATCAGAACAGCCAACAATAAAACAAAAGAAAACTGGGCTGTAGTGAATGATATTAGGGGTAAAAATAAGGCCAATCCCATTAAAAGTAACCTATACTAAAACCAATAATGATTGAGAGTAGAAGTAAGCCCAGTTGACAGCAAATCGGGGGCGTGCTTATTCATTTTTGAGAGGGTTAAGAATGAAAGAAAAATTCTTAAGGTATGGTTTCGCTGGCACGTCTGGCGACGGCGACTGGTAGCAGCGTCTCTGGGAATCGCAGTCGCAGTTGGCGGTCGCTGCGGCAAGTGGTTTGGTTGGCGCGCCCAGAATCGCATTTTNTGGTGAAAAACTAAATGAGAACATAAAAGCCAGCTGTGACTCCTTGGAATACCTTAAAAATGTAAATGTTGTTGAAAACTTTATTCTCACAGATATGGATGTACATGAGCTTATACAGATAATTAATTAATGAAATCAAAAATAATAATTCGGGTATAGATGGTTTGTCTGTAAAAATATTTGAAAATCTACCTCTAAGTGTATTACATGTTTTGGTTGAATGCATTAATAAATCATTTAGGTATGGTATATTTCCCACATGTTTGAAAATAGCTATGGTTCCATTACGCAAGGGCGGAGATCAGGAAGACCCCTCAAATTTCAGGCCAGGCTCATTTCTTATATTATCGACCCTTTCAGAAATTATTGAAAGATTAGTGAAAAAAAAACTAATGTCCTTCTTATCGATGAACAATCTTATCTTGCCTTCAGCTCGGTTTTCAAAGTTCTAAAAATACTACACATGCCATTTTCTCCTTTCTAGAAAATGCATACTCTAACATAAATGATGGCAAGGCTGTTGCAGCAGTGTTTTGTGATTTCTCGAAAGCTTTCGATTGCATTGATCATGAGACACTGCTGCGGAAGCTCAGTTATTATGGGATAAGAGGAACAAATTTTAACTGGTTTGGTTCATATTTGACAGGACGTCGACAGGTGGTGAAAACATCAAATGGACAGTCTGATCTCAGTGACATAAAACATGTAGTACCTCAGGGGTCTGTTTTAGGACCAATGTTGTTTTTAATATACTTAAATGACCTAATAACCATTAACATCGCATTTACTGTATTTGCTAATGATACCACTATTATATGGAGTAATAAAGAAATTAATCAGCAATCAAATCTGAATAAATAAAATAATAAATGTCATTTATTGGTGAATACCAAAGGGCCATCGACCGAAGTCCTTCAGCCAGTATAAAATTTTAAATAAACATAATACAACAATAAAAATAAAAACAACAATAAAAATTAATTGGCGTTCCGGGGCGACTTCATTGATTCCAGTGACGCATTTGCTTTTTCAGCTGCAGGAAACCCCGGAAAAATATGCAGCACCACATCATCTGAAGATCTTGATCTACCAATGTCCTCTCTCTTATAAAACAAATTGTAGGGTGTCTCGACAGGCTCCAATAGATTCAATGCATCGCCAGAACACTTCGTTAAACCAGTCTGTTTCATCTTTGACCAAGGCGTAATAATGACCAAATTCAACGCCAGAACCACAGTGAACAATGACTGCATGAATATTTATTAGTGGTCTGCTAAATTGAAATGTTCATCTATTTCAAACCTTCCAGAGTTTCTTGCTTCCGTCAGAGGTTGAGTCTTGTTTGAAGATCATCAGTGTTATTATTAGATTGACTGGTACCTCAGCTATACTTGTTTCCTTATAACAGTCAGTTAGTTTGGCGCATGTTTGGAAATACAGTCGATCATCACCTGTTGAAAATTCCATAAAAAAATCCATTTTCAGATGATTTAACAGTAAGCTTTGCACGGACTGGTTATTAGTCATATTAGAAAAAGGTAGATGAAGTTCCAGAAATTCACATAAGTTTTCGCTACCTCTTGAACATCTGCTACAAAGTAAACAAGTGAGGATTTTTCCAGCAAAAGATTTACCAACACAAGACGATATGGACTGTACGGAATCATTCAATCCAGAGCGGTATTTATTTTGCTATTGTTTTGCTCACGAAGAAGTATTCAACAAGAACCCCAACAATTCGGAACAATCCTCTTGTTGCCCTAACGAGTATCTAGTGGACTTCAAAGACTCCAGGAAATCGGTTGGAGGGAAAGATGGTACATTCTTACGAAACTGCAGCTGCGTGAATGACGCATCTTTATTAGAATGAGGCAACAAAACAGAATCGACAGCTTGTGTGAAAGCTGATTCATTCAAAGAGGATTTTGTATTCGAAATTTTATGAACTCTACCTTTATGAATTTTGAGACCTTTCGTTGTTTTAAAGGATTTTTCACAAATTTTACAGAACTTGTTATCAAGAGAAGGGCCATCGTTAGCAGTCATTGAAATGAATGATATACAACTACGGAATTAACCATAAAGAATAGAATGATTATATGGAAGTTGTTTAAAATGAGCAAAATATGTGTTTTATATATAAAAGATATATTTTAAGAATACTTAGCTTTTAGTTAAACTGGTCCACTTGAATTGAATGATTTTTTCACCTCTTGAATTTGACGAACTCATTTTAAAATATGACAGTTGTCAGAAAAATTCTTCAAATGTGAATATTTTTCTTAATTCTATGGAAGTTGTTTAAAATGAGCAAAATATGTGTTTAGTTCTATAAAGCAGTGCGTTTGAGGGATTGTGTAGTATGTTCTGAGGGTGACGCATTTTGGTAATACTCCTTAGTGTAGATGTTTCAGCTGTTTGGAGATTTTTTAATGCAGGATTACGACAACTTGAATAAATTACATGTGCATATTCGAGAAGTGGACGACAGATCATTTTATATATTTTAGCTGCAGTTTTAGTGTTGATTCCTCTTTTTATAAATGTCAGA